ATCCAGAGTGAAAGAGGCAGTGTGGTTGCTAAGAGAATGGAGTGAAGAAGAGATGTTGCTGCCTTGGGATGGGCTACACTCAGAGCGTTTCTCCAGGCAAAGCAAGTGGGTCCCATGGAGAAGATGGAGGCCATGTCTGAGCCAGTGCTGGACATCTTAGATCCTGAGCAAGATGGCAGCCTCCTTGGAGGGAGCAGGGTTCCAGGTTTACAGAGGTGAAGAAGGATCCCAAACTATCAGGCAGAAGAGAAACATTTGCCCAAGTCAGTGAAACTACAGGGGAAAAAAAAAAAAAAAAAAAAAAAAGGCCCAGCGACGGGGCGAGGGAGCACGTCTCAGAGACTCAAGGAGAAGCTGGGGAGAGAACCTGAGGGCGCATGCCTCATCATCCTGCGCGGAGACCCCTTTTCTTCTCTCGTCTCCATACTTTCTGATCCTGAAGGGTAAGAAGCCACGATTAACAAGTTTGAGGAGAAAGGACGAATGTGCAAGGTGGAGAAAGAGAGGTCAAACACCACTTTCTCCTGGGCAGGCAGCCAGCCTGCTTGGGCCAGCGGTGAACATGGAGAGGTTGTGAGAGAGAACGGAAAAACGGAAAGTTTTATTTATTCCATTGGATAGAAGATAGGAATTTCCGAATCAAGCCTTCTTTGATTACTTGAAAGTATCCAGAAGAGTTATAAAACTTGCTCTAATCGGATCCAGGGACAAGAAAAAGCCAGCCCTGTGGAATGAACTGGAAGGGCCCGTGGGAGAGAGAGCGGAAGCAGTTCCTTGGTCCTGTTTCACAAGCTATGCTGTGTGTCCTAGTGGTTACCTCATTATTCTCACAACAGCCCCAGGAGGTAACTATTATCCTGAGGAATAATAATAACCCTTCCACAGATGAGGTCATCAAAGCTCAGAAGGGTAAAGAGTTTGTGCCAAATCCCAGACTGAAAATAAGTGGAGGCTCACTCTGAACCCTGCTTTCTGGACTCCACTTGCTCCACCGGAGCACAGAGCGCCTTCATGTGGTCGGAAGGGGTAAGGGCACCAAAATCCACCAGTGAACCCAAAGCATATTCTCAGAAGTCCTGAATTTCTCGTCAGGACCCTTGTGACTGGCTTGAAGAGTGTTACTCTTCATCCTAGGCCCAGATGTATTTAACTGGGCTATTTTGTGGTAAAATACAGAGCCATAGAATGGCCTTTTCTCCCTTTTCTTTTAGCACAAATATGTTTTACGGGACTTTGTTTGAGGGGGATGACTTTCTCTTGTGCTATCTTTCCTAGGAAAGGGTGTGCCATTAGTCATTTATTATTTTATAATAAATATATTGACTTTATTGCTTTTGTGATCAGGCCATTCTAAGTGGAATTAACTAGAGGAGAACCAAGATGGTGAAGACAGAAATGGCTACAGTGGGTCATAGATCAGATTCCTTTGGGAGGCCTGAAGGCCCTACTGAGGCTCAATAAAAATGAATGATCTTTCCTTTTTCATGGGAACAGATTGTTTAACTGAGTATGACCGTTGTCTGTGTGCTTAGGGGACTCATGATGAGGTTTGTGTGCCTTTTCCTGCAGGAAGGTTATGGCAGTCCCACGCTAAGTAGCACTTGTTTGCCTGGGTACTGTGCTTGCTGGCTTCTGTGGAGTTTGTGAAGATCTGCCCCTTAACCCTTTATGCCTGAAGTTGCAATTTTTTGAATTTTTGCAATCAGACCTCGGCCACGACCTTGAGCATTAGGATGTAAATAACTCCCACATACTTAGCATTCAGAACACTAGACATAAATGTTAATGACTTAAATGAGGTAGAAACGTTTCTGCCCCAGGGGAGGAAATAAAAGGTACTCCTCCTTACATTGAATCTGTTTCCTGGTCATGCCCACTAAATTGGCTGTGGGGTGTGACACCCCTCTATGTCATCCCCTATGTGTAAGTGATCAGTGTCAGTTTAGGAGGCCATGACTCCCCTTCATTCAATGAATCAATCCTTTGGCCAAGGGCTGGAAGCAGGGGCTGGGAGAGCTAAATATTACATTGCACTATCTTGAATAGTATAACTAAAGGAAAAATAAAGCCAAAAACAAGGTCTCTGACCTGTCTCCTCCTCACTGTCTCCATGTCCTGAGGCTTTCGTCTTACTGAGATGACACAACTAAAATCAGTTGTGGAGACATCTCTGATTTTGGCATATTCTAAAACAAACATTGTCACATCAAGGGCGACTAAGAACAGGGATACGTTTAGCTCAGAAACAAACATAAACTTGGGAAGACATAAAAGGCCTGTTGGATGAAAGGAGAGTACACTTGTTCTCTGTGACCCCAGAGGACAGATCCAAGGAAGGGAGTTGAGGTCACATGTAAACACACTTGGGTTCAATACAATTGGACAACATTTTATCCTAGGGTATCTCATATCTAGAAGATACCGTGTTCTTTGCGCAACACCACAAAATTTAACCAAATAGTTCTCTCCTTTTGCCTCTTTACGGAGAGCCTTTCTCCATGCTTTCCATACAATAGGTTATGTTACTTCAAAAGGGTTCATAAAGGTTGTGCATGGATGGAATGGAATATTCTGCCTGATGCTTTGGTGGGGGCGGTGGGTTAAAGTTTGGGCATCCTCCTCTCAGTGGGGTGCAGAAAAGCATAGTTTTTGAAATCGGACTGCTGTTAGTTCCAGCCCTGTCTCTGATGCTCATAAACTGGGTGACCTTAAGCAAATTATTTAAACATTCTAAGCCTTAATTTTTTTATTTGTAAAATGCAAAAATAAAAATTACCAGTATCACAGGATAGTTGTGAAAATTAAATGCTTATCATGGCCTGGCATCTGATAATAACAGACACATATATAAGAGGCACCCTCAAAAGACACTCTATATTTAATTCTTTCAAGTTTACTACCCTTAGAAATATGAATATAACTAAATGGTATGTTCTACAAAACAATGTAACATCAGAATTACAAATCCAAATCCTGAGTGTTTTTAAAGAAGGGGTTTGATCATAGGCATTGACAATTTTGAATTTTTCTGATAATATTGTTTGTTCTTTCTCATTCATTTCTATGGCCACTAGCCTATGCTGGCAAACAAATGATAGTAGACCCTTACAAATATAAGAAAAACCACTGGGAGAAAACTCAAATTTTATATATTTTTATATGTTAAATTCAATGCCATTATTTTTGGACTCAAATTGGGACTGAACCCCCATTTGGCTACTTAGTTAGCTTTATGACTTTGGGCAAATTATTCAGCCTCTTTAAACCTGTCTGCTCAACTATCATAAGAGAATTGTTGTGAGGATTAAATTTAATGAAACAATACATGGAAGAGCATAGTGGTAATATGTTCTCAAAAACTGATAGCTATTATATTTTTTTCCTACAATAACTTTATTCATGATTCAAATGTAGCTATTGAATATCTAGGTTATGAGGCATAAGCATTTCTAAGGTGCAAAGTTGGAGGACCACTGTGTCAACAGTAATCACAACGGAGTTTTGGTGTGTATGAATTTCCTCTTACTGCAGTGATGCATTACCACAAACTTAGTGATTAGGTGCAGATTTATTCTCCTGAAGTCCTGGAGGCTAGAAGTTTAAAATTGGTCTCACTGTACTAAATTCAAGATGTCGACAGGGATCATTCCTTCTGGAGGCTCTAGTTTCCTTGCCCTTGCTAACTTCTGGAGCCTGCACTCCTTGGCTTGTGACCCCATTCTCTCATCACACCAGCTTGTTGCTTCCATCATCATGTCTCTTATTTCTGTAGTTAAATCTCCCTCTCCCTCCCTGTTGTGAGAACACTTGTCGATATGCTTTGGCTGTGTCCCCACCCAAATCTCATCTTGAATTGTAGTTCCCATAATCTCCACGTGTCATGGGAGGGACTAGGTGGAGATAATTGAATCATTGAGGTGGTTTCCCCCATCCTGTTCTCATGATAGTGAGTTCTCATGCGATCTGATGGTTTTATAAGGAGCGTCCTCCTTCACTGGGCACTCATTTCTCTCTCCTGCCACCATGTGAAGAAGGATATGTTTGCTTCCCTTTCCATCATGATTGTTTCCTGAGTTCTCCCCAGCCCTGTGGAACTGTGAGTTAATTAAACCTCTTTCCTTTATAAATTACCCAGTCTCAGGTATGTCCTTATATCAGCGTGAAACAGACTAATACACTTGTAATTCCATTTAGGCTCACTTGTATAATCCAGGCTATTCTCTGTCTCTAAAATTCTTAATTTAATTGCATTTACAAAGTGCCTTTTGCCATATGAACAACATTCACAGGTTCTGGAGATTAGGACATGGACTTTAGGAGGGCCCGTTATTCAGCCCATTATTCAGGGCCCACATGGTCTGGGTTGTTCAAGCAAAGGCTGGAACCTTGTGTCAGCCATGGTAGAGCGTGATTCTTGTATTGGCTGTATGCTTAATAGCAATAACCTATGGACACTTAGAATCCATGATTGTAAATGGGAGACAATAGGAATATTGTACCACCTCAAAATGAAAATGCTGTACTTCCCTTTCTCTGTGACCTGCACTGTGATGTTTCATTTCAACTAGGCAAATCTTTTTATCTATAAATGCATTTTTTTTTTTTTCACAGCATCTCACTGTGTCACCTAGGCTGGAGTGCAGTTGTGCAATCTCGGCTCACTGCAACCCCTGCCTCCCAGGTTCAAGCGATTCTCCTGCCTCAGCCTCCTGAGTAGCTGGGACTACACCATGCCTGGCTATAAATGCATTTTCTTAGGATTATGTTTCATACACTTTGTACTAGTCCAGAGGTTAACTGAACCCCTCTCTCAGTACAATTATTTTGACACCCCCTCTTCTGGCATCCCCTTTTTTGCAATCTCTTGCCCCAACCTGGCAGAGCCATCACATTTATATAATATTTTTATGCCAGCACTGTTCTAAACAGTATATATGTGTATATATTTATACTCATTTAATATTCAAATATTCTAGTATGAATGTATCTTTATTTTGCAGATGAGGAAGCCGAGGCACTGAGAGGAGAAGTAACAAGCTCAAGGTCTCAAGTGAGTGTTCAAAGTATGTCTGTCTCCAGAGCACATAGTTTTAACCACTACACTATACTGTATCTCTTCAAGAAGTCCTTAATAAGTGCTATTTATTATTATTTTTATAAAGCTCAGAAAAAAATGTTTTGGAGCCCACCTCCTGCAGTTCTTCCCCTGTCTCCCCTTCATGTCTCTAAAAAACAAAAAAAGAAAGAAAAGAAAAAGAAAAATATAATAAGAGGAAAGAAAGGACAAAGAAAGCAAGAGAAGTTCATGTCGACTTGGTACAGAAGTCGTATCCCATGGGTGAGCAACACATGTGTGAATGATTCCACAAGTAAGCAATTAGCAGATTTTGTAGTCTAGCATTTAAGCCAGTGCCAAGCAGATGTTGATAGAGATATTTCAGAGAAACATCATAAAATGATGATTAAGCTAAAAGGAATTTGAATGGTAAAAATTTAGAGTCTTAAATTTATAGATTTATGACTACTCTGTGCATTTATGTAAAAATCCAGTCTTAAATCTGTAGCTTTGCAGCAGATTTGTAAAGGCAGGGAGAAGGTAGAGTGGCAAGAGGTGATTATGCCTGGGTAATTAGAGACAATGGGCTTTCCACTGGCAGAACCTCTGCTCTGCTCAGAGAGTGTTGGAAATACAAGATGGCAGTCTACATGGTGGTTATGAGTCCAGGTTCTGAGGCAAGACAGTGTATGTTCAAATTCTGATGCCACAACTTACTGACTATATGACCTTGGCCTAGTTTACTTAACCTTTTTTTGTGCCTTAGTTTTTTCAGGAGAAAATGGGCATAATAATATTTTCTTGGTAGGGCTGTGTTAAATGGGATCATTATGCCTCTCATGTAAGTACTCAGTATATGTTAATAGTTATAATTATCATCTTATCATATCTAATATGCTTAGGAGATGACTACATATTTGGGAAGGAGCTTTTCTTCAGATAGATATTATAGAGGATGCACTCATTGTTTGAGGGAGAAAAAGAGACAGATAATGATCTGCTTACGTCAGCTCAGGCTGTTATAATAAAATACCAAAGACTGGGTGGCTTAAAAACCAGACATTTATTTCTCGAAAATCTGGAACCTGGGAATTCCATCAAGGCACCAGCAGATTTAGCTCCTGGTGAGGTCTCTTTTTCAGGCTTGTAGATTGTAGACAGCTACCTGCTTGCTATGGTCTCATATGGCAGGTGGAGAGAGAGAAAGTTCTCACCTTTCTTCCTCTACTCTTTATAAGGACACTAATCCCATTATAAGGGCCCCACCATCATGAGCTCATAGAACCCTAATTACCTCCCAAAGGCTGTACCTCAGAATACCATCATATTGGTGGTTAGGGCTTCAACATATGAATTTGAGAGAGGCATAACCATTCAGTCCATAACATTAGCAAACAGAAAAATTGAGAAAATGTTTCAGATTGTGATACATGCTATGAAGAGAATGTTTCATAAGAATGAGGTTGTGTGTACCTGGGATTGGGGTGAGGCATCAAAATATATTCCAGTTGGGTGGTCAGGTTGGACCTCTCTGGGCTGGGATCTAAGTGAGAGCAGACATCAGGGAGGAGTGTTTAAGCGAGTAGGAGCAGGGAGGGCAAAGACCCGGAGATGGGAAAGAGCTTGAGCTGTTGGAGAAGTAACAGTATAAAAACCCCAATGAGGTTAAAGGAAATACAGGAAAAAGTGAGTGGTAGGAGAAGTGGGCAGGGGCCAGGGTCAGAATGAAGGGGAGGAGATTTTCATTTTAAGTGCAGTGGGAAGCCATTGGAGGACTTTAAGCAAGGAGAAGACATGCCCTGATTAGTGTTTAAAACCTGACATTATTATGCTTTCTTTTTTTTTTTTTTTGAGACGGAGTCTTGCTCTGTCGCCCAGGCTCACTGCAAGATCCGCCTCCCGGGTTCACGCCATTCTCCTGCCTCAGCCTCCCAAGTAGCTGGGACTACAGGCGCCCACCTCCACGCTCGGCTTATTTTTTACATTTTTAGTAGAGACGGGGTTTCACCATGTTAGCCAGGATGGTCTCGATCTCCTGACCTCGTGATCCGCCCGCCTCGGCCTCCCAAAGTGCTGGGATTACAGGCGTGAGCCACTGCACCCGGCCTGACATTATTATGCTTTCTGTGTACTGTCAGTTAGTATTGGCATTATTACTCTGGATTTATTAATACTATTTAAAAATAGTCTTTTTAAACTAAGTACTCGTGGATTTACTAATATTATTTTAATAATATTTATAACTCTGGGATTTATTAGAAGCTTACTGTATGCCAGACATGTACTAATTACTCTATGCACATGTGATAGGAGGTAAACTGAAAATTTCAACAGCAGTACCAGAATACTGTAGGTATGAAATCCTAAAGGAGATCCCAGAACAAATGGAAGATTTTCAAAGGAACAGGGGTTACAAGGCATGAAAAGCCACAAAGAGGATACAAAATAATAGAAAGAATGGATTTGTGAAAAGGATTTCTTTGTGAAGAGCCACTGCCAAATTCCTTCCCCTCCTCTCCTCCAATGAGGGACTTCAGTGACACTACTTGGAGGGTGCTGTGTGCTGGCATTTTGAGGGCACATTAAGATTGGGCCTGAAAAGGAAGAGTGGGAAGGAGAGTAGTGAGGGAGGAGGAAGTGGGGAAACAGGTCAGAGTATATTAACATTGAGTTAGAAGTGTGTGTTGTGGCTGGAATGTTGTGTCTGGGGTCATTTTGAAAGGGCTCTGCCCAAGAGGATCTTCTAGAAAAATCAGATTCTCTATGGAATGGATCCTGGCTTGGGGAAGGGAGAAGATTTGAAGTCAAGTCATATGTGATTATTTGCTGGAACTGGTCCTTTACATTTCTGAGTTGAGGCTGCATTTGAAGTGTGACTGGAGGACTTTTTATTTTCTGAGGCCCTTAAGTTGTGAGCCATACAGCCATACAGCCAAACAGGACTTCTACCAAGTGCAAAGCAAAAATTTCTCCCACTGAATAGATTTTAAAGTGAAGCAATGAATTTTGGTTATAAATCCTGAGTCACTCTTGTTCCAACATTGCCACTTATATATAATATTTTATTTAATCCTCTATGAAGTGGGTACTATTCTTAACCTCATTGTAAGGATGAAGAAGCTAAGGCTTAGAGAATTGACACTAATCAGCATGAGGTCACAAGGCTTGTAGGGAATAGAAGAGGGTTTGGACCCAGAACTTCTCCTAGCCACTGTGTTATGCTGCTAAAGAAGCAGTGAAGGACGCCACCATTGGTCAGGCTGATGGTGGAAATAGCTCGTGGATGGTAGATTTTGATTTTTGTAAAAAAGAAGGATGTCACTCAATGTATCAAGCCCAATTCCTAATTTCTCAATATAGAACAAGTTGAAAATATCCCCAGAATGAAGTTGGACTTCAGCTTTGTGGTTCATAGCATTGTCTCTGGCATATTTCAGGAGTGGGGATCTGGGTCTTCGTGGAGACAGGGCACCCATAGGTGCTGATCTCTTCCTCCCTTTCTGTGACCCTCTTTCCCCTACTGGTGGAGGTAGCCTCAGAGAGGACCCAGAGTCGTCAGTTCAGTTCAGTCCTGTGGGCTGTGATTTTTATCCAGGGCCTTCATCTTATGTCCAATTTGCTGAGCTTTGTAGGGCTGGGGCAGTTCTTAAGGCTACGGAGCTATACCGGAGAGGTGAGGAATTATATTTTCAGAGGCCTCTCAGGTACCCCTGAAACACATCCTCTCAATCTCTCCTGCCTCCTGCTGTGTTACCTTTCTTGGGGAGCATCCTGAAACCAGCTTCATTTGTGTGTGCCACCATCTCAGTCTAAAGCCATTGTTAAACACCCATTGTTAGGATCACGACTATTAGATAAATAAAACACTCCTGTATATTCAAGCATGGCCTTTACAGCATTATATTAAAACAATAAATCAAGTATCACAGACTCAGCGTTTGAGCCAGCTTTTATTGCGTTATTCCATTCTCTCCATGATCCAGCTTTAAAATCCCTCCTCCTGCATTTATGATTTTGAAACATTACATCAGTTATGTCCCCACAGCACTTTAATCTAATTCAACACTTTAAGGGGTAGGTAAGTGTTTAGGACACTGGGCCAGGCCTGATCATTTTATGAAACCGTTGTTTTATAGAAGAACATTACTTTTATTACCAGATTCTATGGTGTGTTTGGTGGGGGACAATCTGGTTACAATTACAAATACTGTTTTTTAAGAGCTGCAGTAGAAAGCTCAGTCATTTGAAGATGAGGTACGGCTTCCTCAATTGGTCGTAGCATATTGGTACAAGATGTCAAGAGGAAGCACATCTATGCCTCGGCCTGGTGCTTCCCCTTCAGAATTTTATGTTAACTATAGGTGCAGGTGGTTCCAATGGAAAAACTTGATGTGTGCTCTGAAGTGATGTTACTCATCCACTGCATAACCATCACCTATATCAAAGGAGAGCCTTTACGTACTGGCTAATACAGTGTGTTAAATTCACCCCAAACGAACTGGATGCCATTAAACCTTTAGAGCAATGGGACTGTTCTTACAAGATGGAAGGTCAGACTTCTGGAAGAGCAGTTCCCTTCTGCAGTGCTGCTTCTCTGTCTCACAAGGAAGAAATGCGTATTTGTCTCCATCAATCCTCAAGCACTTGCCAAAATCCAGGTGTGTAGTTCCTCCATATCCATTTCTTTTATTTGACTTGCATTGGGGGGATAGGACATGGCTAAAAGTATTTTTAAGCAATAACTCAAACTATGTCAATAGGATAGTGTTTCAAATTCAGGTGTCCTGCCTTTCATGTGCTGTAAGCCTCTGGGAAGCCAATACCATGTCAAAGAAGTATAAAATTATTTACTGGGTCCATCGTGCAATTTTGAGGAAGTCTGTGGCATTTGCTCATTGCATTCTTTGAAGGCATCACACAGTAGGTGCCATAAATATATCAAACAAATTTCAGCATTCACCTCTGCATAATCAACTATCCAGCATTTGAGAGTGTGCAGGAAACTTCCCTCTTGGGAGTTCCTTTGCCAGATGATTATTTTGGTTATGATGTCAGAAATAGGTGGGCAGGCGTGTCTATCCCGGTAATCAGCAGAGGCTCAAGTATACGTGGTCGTTAACGTTCTTAGCTCTCTTGCAACCTTGACTTCCAGGGCTAAAGTGATCCTCCCACCTCAGCCTCCTGAGTAGCTGAGACTACAGGCATGTGTCACCATGCCCAGCTAATTTTTGCATTTTTTGTAGACACAGGGTTTCACCATGTTGCCCACCATGTCCTGGGCTGAAGCGGTCCACTCGCCTTGGCCTCCCAAAGTGCTGGGATTACAGGTGTGAGCCACCGTGCCCGGCTAATTTGAAGCTTTTTAAGAAACAGAATCTTAAATGGAAGATGAGTGGCCGTCAAAGAGAAGCAGTAAGCATGGTGACACGTCAAAGAGAAGCAGCAGTAAGACTGGGCAGATCCCCTATGTAAAATGCACTAGAAGATTTCAAAAATTTTTTATTTGACTATCTCTCTGATGATAAAAAAGGGAGACCTCAAAACTACACATGAACAAAGTCATGTTTGTGGAAGAACTTTGGAATTTTAGTAACGAATTAGGAGACTCCATCAATCTAGTTTTATTGTTGGAATAGCTCTTCACTCCCCAGTTGATAAACCTACCTAATGTGTCCTGTCTCTCTGGGGCCCATCAGGAAACAGGATTGCACTTGAATCGACCTGCAAATTGTTCCTCAGCTTGGCCTTGTATGAGACTCAGAGTCCGATCTGGTAGGCATTTATTCAGGGCTTGTGCTAGGCATTCAGTTATGTGTTCTTCTGAAATATTCCTCCTTTCCAGGCTTCTATTGACCACACTAAAAGCAGCATCTCTCACTGTGGAAGACAAGGGACATTTTCTAACCTCTTCTCTGGAATTACATTAATGGAAAGTATTGTGTCTTAAAAAGTAAAACAAAAACAAAAACAAAACCCAAAGCCTTGTGAAATTGTTAGACAAACACTGCTGTTTTGAATAACTACTTAGAAGAACCATAATAATTTGGCCATCATTAATGTAGAATCTACTCCAAGCCAGACTTGGGCTTGATAAATTACATTCATTAATAACAAACGCTAGACTGCGTGAGCCAGGCTTGACCTCCCCCAAGAACACATTATTTAAAAATTCATTTGGCGTCTATTTCCATATCAATAATCAATGTGCTATTTACTGATCATTTAAATCTGATTATTAAAGCAGATTCAGAAAGAAGGACATTGGCTTGCTAATTGGCAGTGATTTTGTTTTAGCTAAAACATGTAACAGTACTTAAAAATCTAGTATATCTTTGAATATCTAACAATTCAGGATTCTAAAAAAATGACTGATCTTGGGCAGAATTAATTTAGCTAATGAGATTTTTCTGTATTTTACTGTTGACAGCTTTCTTTTCAAACGCTTGAATTTTACATTTGGGAATTTTATTCTGAGAAATAAAAACAGATTAAATAGGGGCTTTTGAAAATATTAACAAATGACTACTCTATGAGAGTTTAGTAAGGAGAGGTGAAGTTGCTTTGAGGTTCATTTCTTCACCTTGGCTGGTATCACAGGTGTGATGATTAATTTTACGTGTCCAACTTGGGTGGGCCACAGTGCCCAGCTATCTGGTTTAACATTATTCCGGGTGTTCCTATGAAGGTGTTATTGTGGGTGAGATTAACGTTTAAATTGGTGGACTTTGAGTAAAGCAGGTTACCCTCCATCATGTGAGTGGACCTCATCATCCCATCAATGGAGGGGCTTGATAGAATGAATACTGAAGACTTGGCTCCCCTGTGCAGGAAGGAATTCTGCCAGTAGGCTGCTTTTGGACTCAAACTGCAACGCTTCCTGGGTCTCCAGTCTGCTAGCCTACCCTGCAGATTTTGAACTTGTACCCCTACAATTGTGTGGGTCAATTCCTTAAAACAAATTTCTCTCTCCTTCCATATATCCTGTTGGTTCTACTTGTCTGGAGAACCCTGACTAATACAACAGGCTTCTCAGAATATTAACTGTTTGAGAAAGTACCTAGCACTGTGCGTGGCACATTTTAGAAAACGATTGTTTAAAGCTTTGGAAGTGCAGTGAGTTGGCCAGCTTTCAGGTCTGATGCAGAATGATATTTAATGTAGTTTATTCATCTTTATTATCAGTTTGATGTTTTATAGAATTTAGCACTATGGTAATGGTTACTAAACATATGCAAAAATTTTGTAGAATACCTGGACAAGAGAGGGCAAAACAGACCAATGGCATAAAATCAGACAGAAAATAAACTTCTATTTTTTGGCAGGCTTCCATTCACAGAAACGGTTTTAAGCGGTTTCTAAATGTTAGGCTTAAACTAGCACATATGAAAAGTGGAAGAGAATAACCTATTGAATTTAAATAGGAGAAAATGTTAATTTCTTATGTGTTTAAAGGAACTTTGAAGTGTTTAAACAAGCACAATTGGTGCCTGCTGTATAGTTCAGATAATAAGGGAAGTGCTGGTTTCTGCAAAAAAACTGATAAAATGTGTGATATTCATTCTATGAAATAATATTTTTTCCTGCAAAAAAGTGATGTATATATGGGAAAAGACAGACAATTTGAAGAGATCAAGAATCACTTTTAAAAGATGATTATTTTCAACTTTTGAAATATTTTCTTTCAGTGTTTTATTCTGTGCCTTTTCTTAGCATTTGGTTTTTACATCATTGTATTACGTTGTAATACACAAAGTAATTTGTAATAATTCTTTTTTCCTCTTTATGTAAAGTGAGGATTTATTAAAAATGTATGAGATGTGACCAAATTGTCAAAGGAGAGGAGCTAACTTTCTTGGAAATCAGGGGAAAATGCTGTAAAAACTTAAAAAGAAAATCTGTTATTACTGCTAAAACATTCTTTCCTTCCTGATTGGATGTTTGTGTCTCTGTGAATGTGTCTGGATTGTGAAATCATCACAGTGTTTCAAAGGTGAGCCGTCTAGGCTAATGGTCACGTTCTGGAGCCAGACAGCCTGGTTCAAATCCCGGCTCTGCTTTCTGCTTACTCATGGAGTAAACTTGGGCAAGTTTCCTTATCTGTAAAGAGGGATTGATAAGCCTTCTTCTCTCTTAGGACTATTGTAAGGATAACCCGGAAAATGGAAAAAAAACACTTAGAACAGTGCTTAGCACATCATAAGCCCTCAATCAATGATAGCAATTTCTGGAGGACATGAGACTGCTTCTAAAATCACATCATTAGGTCAGGAGATCGAGACTATCCTGGCTAACACAGTGAAACCCCGTCTCTACTAAAAAAAACACAAAAAACAAGCCAGGCGAGGTGGCGGGCGCCTGTAGTCCCAGCTACTCGGGAGGCTGAGGCAGGAGAATGGCATAAACCCGGGAGGCGGAGCTTGCAGTGAGCTGAGATCCGGCCACTGCACTCCAGCCTGGGCGACAGAGCGAGACTCCGTCTCAAAAAAAAAAAAAAAAAAAAATATATATATATATATATATATATATATATAACTTGTAATGACAATAATAAGCTGCTAGTTAGTGCCATGTATTAAGTGCTTTATATACAATTTTATGAATACATTTTTCTTACAAGAGTTCCGTGCTACTGCCACCCCCATTTTGTAGATGAGAAAAATGGGGCTTGGGAAAGTTACATAGTTTCCCGAAGTCTCCCAGCGGGTAAGTGGGAAGATAAGTTCCTAGTCGTTCAGTACATTCTTGTGTCCTTTAAACCAAGTACAAACCATGTGCCTCCTGTCTCAGCCACGTAGGTTGTGGGAGCAGCTGCAACTGCAGAAGGATGTGGATACGAGGAGGAAAGGGGGGATTTTAAAGAAGTTTGCTGTGGTCTACAGGGGGTCTGGAAATACACACGAAGAACAGGACTTATTTTGAAATATCTTTTAGTGGCTATACTTATTCTTTAGCCGCCCTACACTGAAACGACACTGTGAGCTACAGATTTTTGATCATTGTATTCAACATCGTTATTGTTAAAAATAAAAAAATAAAAACAACAAAAAGGATAATGTCTGTTCTCTATGAGGAATTGCAGTAAAGGATGACACATATTTTCCATCTTCAATTTTCTCCAGGAAATAAGTCATTGTATCTGAGAATGGTAGCCCGAGAATACAAGTCTATTTTTATGTATGATTATGTCATCTGCAAACAGATTTGAAAGAAACACCCAGGGTAATTTATCAAGGAAACAGCTTTTGACTCTATCCTTTTCCCTGGGGTTTATGAAACTTCAGCAGGTGGCATTTTGGTATTTAGCATGACAAGCTTGTGAAATTGCAACAGCTAGCAAATGGAGGAACAAGTTGATTTTGCTTCTTCATAGATGAAGGAAGTTATTTCTTAGGGTTTTTCAATGTCCTAGGTCCTGGGCTAGGTGCTTTCACTTACATCCAGTTTCACACACGTGTAATTTAATTTAATTGTCACAGCATTCATTATTCATGTATTCATTCAGCTAATATTTATCACATGCCTACCGATAAGCAGACACTAGGTAAAGTGCTGGGTTTTCAAGGTGAGCACACAGAGCTGGTGAGGAAAATAGGCACATGGGTATCTACTTAAATGTGTCATCCTGTAAATGTATTGGGTGTTTGACAATAAAGAGGAGCACCTCACCTTATAGGAATGACCACTCCCTTAAGATATTATAGTTGAGAAAATTGGGGCTTAGCGTCATTAAAATGATTGTGCTAACTAGTAATGAGTAGTGAGGGCAGGATCCACTGCCATTGGTGTGATTTCACATCATCTCTCAGGGGGTCCCCAAGGAGTCATTGAAAATGCTGTGTTTTCTAACTCTCTTCCTTGTGCTCACAAACATTGTGCCTCTTCTCCCCGTTTCTGAAGTGTGTTCACGTCTCTTTTTATCTTGTGCATTCTAAACCTCCTTCCATTAGGTTTTATGGCAGAAGCCATAGTGGTTCACTGTTAACAATATTTCCTACTCATTTAGGTGGTGCGATGAGGGGATACAGAGCAGGGGGTCTTCAGACCTTTTCTGTAATGAGCCAGTAACAAATATATTAGGCTTTATGGATCTTATGGCCTCTGTCATAACTATTCTGAGGTTGCATCCCAGAAGCCACCATAGACAATTCCTGAACAGAGGGGTGTGGCTATGTACCAATAAAACTTTATTTATGAATGTTAAAATTTGAATTTCATATAATTTTCACAAGTCAAGAAATATATATATATTTTCGGCTTTTTCAACCATTGTTAAAATAGAAAAGCCATTCTTAGCTCATGGGCCATACAAGCCCAGTTGGTGGGCTGAATCTGGTCTGTGGACCATAGTTTCCCAACTGATATGGTTTGGCTCTGTCCCCATCAAATCTTATCTTTAATTGTAGCTCCCATAATTCCCACATGTCATGGGAGGGTCCTGGTGGGAGGTAATTGAATCATGCGGGCAGGTGTTTCCTGTGCTATTCTCGTGATAGTGAATAAGTCTCACGAGATCCAATGGTTTTATAAATGGGAGTTCCCCTGCACAGGCTCTCTTGCCTGCCACCATGCAAGATGTGCCTTAACTTTTTCTTTGCTTTCTGCCATGACTGTAAGGCCTCCCCAGCCATGTGAAACTGTGTGTCCATTAAACTGCTTTCCCTTATAAATTACGCAGTCTCTGGTATGTCTTTATTAACAGCATGAGGACAGACTAATATACAAACCCATGCTAAAGAGCTCTGTGGGTATTACCCCCGGGTCAGGACCTATCCCACAAATATCCCTGTATTTGAATGCAGGAACTAAACCTACATTCACATCCCAGTTTTACAAGTTACTGGCTGAATAACCCTGGGTAACTTCTTCAGCTCCTCTGAGGCTGAGTTTTATGTTGGTCCTGGTTTGTGAGTGTGCCTGGCCTTTTCCTGCTGTAGGTCTTCACACGTGTCCTTGTGATAGCTTCTGTTTGAAATACACTTTCCTCAGGACTTTGGGTTACAGTATCTTTTCATGAATCAAATCTCTCTCTGCCTAAAGTGGCCATCCTCTACCTCAGCCACTCACTATCCTATTGCCTTCTTTTACTCCCCTCTTAGCATTAATTAAATCTGAAACTGTCTTATTCATTTACTTGTTTATTCATTTATTGTCTGGCTCTCCTGCTAGAATAATCTTCATGGAAGTGAAAAGATTGTTTAAAAACCTTATGTACTGTTGTATCCCTAGGGCCTAGAACAGTATCCAGCACATAGTAAATGCTCAATAAATATTTGTGAACAAATGAGTTAAAGTGTAAGAATGAATGGTTTCTCTATTATGGGATTTATTCATTACAGGATTTTGGTGATTATTAAATGAAATGATACATATGCTAGGTACAAAGATAAAAACTTAAGAAAGGTAATTTTTGTTATGAATACACATTAGGAAAAGTGGATTCATAAATAATAAAATAATAAATAGGATGTATTAAGTTATGCCATCATGAGAATAGCAGAGTCTTAGTGATCTTAGAATTGGAAAAATGTAGAGATGTGAGTTATTAAGATAGATTCTTTTGCTTTGGTTCATACTCACTTTTTGCATATAAAAAATCTAGGGGCTGGGCACGGTGGCTCACGCCTGTAATCCCAACACTTCGGGAGGCTGAGGTGGGTGAATTGCTGGAGGCCAGGGGTTCGAGACCAGCCTGGTCAACATGGCAAAACCCCATCTCTACTAAAAATACAAAAATTAGCCAGGCTTGATGGTGCATGCCTGTTGTTCCAGCTACTTGGGAGGCTGAGGCATAAGAATCACTTGAACCCAAGAGGCAGAGATTGCGGTGAGCCAAGATCATGCCATTTCACTCGAGCCTGGGCAACAGAGCAAGACTGTGTCTGAAAGAAGAAGAAGAAGAAAGAAGGAAGAAGGAAGAAAGAAGAAGGAAGAAGGAAGAAGAAGAGGAAGAAGAAGAAGAAAAACAGAAAGAAGGAGAAGAAACTAGGTTCTAAGACAGGTTGAGCTATTTATTTGAGGACATAAACTTTTGAGAGCATTGTCACATGCACGATCTCTCTCTATCTATTCATCCATCCTCCATAACTAATTGATGTGTTTTGGGGAGGAAGGAAGAAGGAGTGTATTAATTTTCCATTCCTCTATAACAGACTACCATAAACATACTGTCCTAAAACAATACCAATTTATTGTCCCGTAGTTTCTTATTAGAAGTTCAGTGTGGCTTCACTGGCTTCTCTGCCCAGGGTCTCACACTGAAGGTGACTTAAAGTGGTTGCAATCTCCCCTGAGGCTCTGGGGAAGAATCTGTATCTAAGCTCACTCAGGTTGTTGATAGAATTCAGTTTTTTGTGGCATAGAACTGAAGTCCCAATTTTTTGGGCTGCCTGCTGGAGGCTGTTCTCAGCTACTGGAGGCTGCTCGCAGTTCCTTGCCATGGACCTTGTCACAAGACTGCTCACATCATCACAGTGGATGAATCTCCTTCACACCTTGAATTACTCTCTCTTCTGCTACAGACTAAGACAATTCTCTGGCCCACCTAGATAATGATTAGGTTAGGCCCACTCAGATATCTCCCTTTCAATTAACCCGGAGTCTACTGGTAACCTTAATTGCATCTGCAAGAATGCCTTTTGCCATATAATGCAACTTAGTCATAAGGAGTGATATCATATTCACAGGTTCCACCTACACTCAGGGGGAGAAGATTACACAAGAATGAGTCATCTTAGAACTCTGCCTACCGCAAAGGGTAGATGTTTTTAGCAGTCCTTTTAATGAGAACCAGTATCTTCTTTGCCTGGTTTTAGTTCTGGTTGTCCCCTGGTTTTCTGCTTGATCCTGGAACTTTTCTGTATTTTCTATTAAATCTCTGTAGCAGATAGGTTTGGTGACCATCCATGATGTACTATTCAGAGTCGCTGCTGCAGAGAAACTCAATGACTAAAGCCTTCTCTCTGAATCCACCACCAACTTCATACAGAGCCTCACTTTCCATGGACTGCTCCAGCCAATGACTGACCTCAGACAGTGATAATGATGGGCTGCTTTGGCTTGAGACTCCCTATTGGCCTGGTTGAAGCTTTTCAGAGCTGCACTGCAGTCTGATCTGAGACTTCCCTCTTAAATCCCCTTCTTTCCCTCTCTCCTTCACAGGGCAGATCAGACATGCCCTTCAGTCTGATAACCTTCCCTGCCTTTTCTGCCTGCCCCCACCACCCCTATTTTCCTCATAGTCATTTTTCCCAATAAATCTCTTGGACATTTAATCCTGTCTTGATATCTGCTTGTTGGCAAATCTGAA